GAGAGAGAGAGAGAGAGAGAGAGAGAGAGAGAGAGAGAGAGAGAGAGAGAGAGAAAAAAAAGAGAGAGAGAGAGAGAGAGAGAGAGAGAGGGAGGGAGGGAGAAGTGTCCAAGAGTGAAGATAGAGATCCGAAGATCATTCCTAGTAAGCGCAGAAGCAGCACACAGAGGCAATAAGTCTCTTGAAGCCCGAGCGATTCAAATGGGAATCATGAAATACATCTTGACGACCGCCCCGAAGCCGTCATCAGGCCAGCGGACATTCGTGACACTAAAAGCGCCAGGAGATGTCTAAAGCGCCCAATGAGAAGCCTACATGGGCCATACCCGGCGTGCTGCAACCAGCGTCGATAACTCGTCATCTTCGGGCCTAGGGTGATTTACAAGGGGACCAAGAGGTTTCAAAACATACAGGTGGTTTAAACCACCAGTATGTTTCCCAGGCTCCCAGCCATTTTTCAACGGCACGGTTTGCATGTTACCACAAATTTCAGGGCTCCGCCTTTGGGGCAAAATGGAAGGCGGGCCCAGGCAAAAGGAGGCCCGCGCCCATTCATTTTTTGTTTTGTCCCGCAAGGCGTTTCCAGCCCCGAAGAAAAAAGAAGTGCCTCAGAAGTATTGGTGGTTTAACCCAGCAGTACTTCCTAAAGTCTTGTGTTTGTAAACAAGCCACAATTTTAGGAAATGTACGGGTGACTACAGAAGCACCCAAATTCATCCGACTAGAAACGCTTCTACTCTATTTTTTCCCACGGCTGATAGGTGGGCCAAGTACTGGTGGTATAACACCCCCTGATGATGCTGGTATTGGCTTGGTTAGGGATGAGTCGGGGATCGTTGTGATGAATTTAATGGCGTTTACAACAACCTGGACAAGGCTCATCCCTTAAAGTTTGAAAGCAAACACGGTGCTACGAACGTCGAACCTATTACACGGTCGCGGCTCTCCTCTGGAACGTTATGAAGCGGGTGAACATAGACGCACGCAGACAGTTCCACACAGTTACACGGCCTCACCCAATTTTCTTTCCTACGGCAAAGAAAAATAAAAAGAAATAAATAAAGGACCTGGTTAAAATTCTTATATTTTATCTATTTTCTAATTTTGCTATTTATCTATGTGATAACGTTCTATTTGAGAGTGTACAGGTACCGCAGCCACGACGAGTGTGATCAAGACAACAACACAGTTGGTAAGTAGCAAGCATCCACAGAACAACCCATAGGTGAATAGAGTCAGCCAACCCTAGCCTCTCGTTGTCTTCTCTGCAATTACTTGAGCCAGACACTAGGATTGACGAGTGGCACTATGGCATAATCCCATTGTCGATGCGAATACCCTTACAAGGGTATCCGCATACCCTTGTTTTTTGCAAATGACAGAACACAAGCTTGGTTTATAGTCTGAGTATACCGCGCGAGCCGTGGCTGTGTTTTGAGTACGCTGACTGAATGGTTAATGAGAGTAGAGAGTGTGTGGGCGAGCAGGCTTACGGCGCGTGTGATTTCTTTTCTTGTTGATAATTATGAAGCCGGCGTGGTTGCCGGCCAAATTTTTTTTTTTTTTTTTTTTAGAATAGGATTAAAATATTTGGCCCTTTTATTCGCAAGTTTGACCGCGACATGTGGGCTTATCCGGAGGACGGCATCAACGACAACGTGGCTTGAGTAATGGTTCGAATACGCAAGGGAATAGATGTGCGATAGGCGCGAGAGCTTGATGACCATGGGATTAGTTGACAAGCCAAGGTGTGCCTTTGGAACGTTTCAGAAGACCCACGCGCAGCATGGTACCTGCTTATATACGTGTCCGCTAGTACCAAACTCAGTCGTGGGCCTAGGCTAGCACTTTTGGTTATGGTAACGGACATTCATTCGAGGGACACATGGATTGAGGCCAATGGGCAGCAGTGCAAGAATATCGCAGGCGAGGAGGAGCCTAGGGGTTGAGGGCCCGGCGGGGCTATCTCCCTTGGTTTTGCCATCAGCGGAGTCGGAGCGGTACTAGCGGTTCCTTTTCCTCGCCTGTCGATCTCTGACGACTAGTAATTTTTTTCTGCGTAGCACGGCGAATGTATTCGCGCCAACGCGTTCGCCCGAACAAGTTCGGGCGAACATAATTTTTCCCGTTAAAATAAATAAATAAATAAATCAAATTCAGTTTTTGATTTTTAAACTAGGTTACCAGTCGTCCGATGGTCGGACGTCTCCCCCAACCGCCCGCTTGGGGGGTTGTCCAGGATCCCGGACCACCACTTTTTGGCATTTAAAAAAAAAAAAAACGAAAAAAAAAAAAAGGATGTT